TATGTCGTCGATTTCGACGATAAATTTCATTCCACGACAAAATCGTCTTCGTTATATCGTGTATGATTTTCTAATATTAATTAAAAATTATTTTTTTATTTTTTATTCAAATAAAATCATTTAGTATTGGCGACAGTTACATAGACAACAACGTATATTTGTTATTGTTATTGTTTTGTTATTAGTATTCATTTATTTTGGCTATCGGTCCCATGCTACAGAACCAGCTAATGAACAGCCACATGAATATCATCGTGATGAAATAAATAAAGATAAAGAAGCGTGGCAACGGAAACAAAAAGAAGTAAATATAAATTATTAATGAATAAAATTTAAATAAAATTCATTTTTTTAGGAAAGTCAAGCAGGTAAATTTAAACCTCAAAAACAATATTTTTCAAGTAAGAAGAATTCTTTATAGTCATTGTTTAAATAGTATTCTTAATTAGATCCAACAAACGAACGTCAAATAGCAGTACGAGATGCTATGCGACATGCATGGAAAGCATATCGTACATATGCATGGGGTTATGATGAATTACTACCCATATCTAAAACACCTTCACCATGGTTTGGACTTGGTTTAACTATTGTTGATAGTATTGATACATTATATATTATGAATATGACTGAAGGTTTGTATTTATATAGATTTGTTATTAATTTCTATTTTTAAATTTAAATTTTAGAATATAAAGAAGCTCGTGAATGGATTGAAAAATCGTTTAGCTGTGATTCAGATTCTGTCGATAAATTTAATTCACATTTTGAAATAACAATTCGAGTTTTGGGTGGTCTACTTAGTACTTATCATCTATCAGCGGATGATATATTTTTACAACGAGCAGTAAAAATAAATAATATCATAATTTTTATATTAATTAATTCTTAATTCTCTTATTTAGATTGAATTAGGAGATCGTCTTTTTATTAATTTTAATACTCCAACACGTTTACCATTAGCTGAAATCAATATTAAACGAAAAGCTGCTAGTGGTTATCGGTATGATATTTATATTATAATTAAAATTTTATTTTTATATTAACTTTTAGGTGGACGTCAGATTCAGCTCTATCAGAAGTCGGTACAGTTCAAATTGAAATGCGCGATTTATCACGAGTTAGTGGCGAAAAGAAATATGAGGTTTGTCTATAACCAATGAGATATTAAGATTTATTTGTTTATTTTTATAGGATGCAGCTGATAAGTCAGCAGCTGTATTACATCATCAATCAAAAAAAGATGGTCTTCTACCGATATTCGTGAGTCCATTAACGGGACGATCTTCTGGTGGTGTTGTATCTCTTGGTGCACGTGGTGATTCTTATTATGAATATTTGCTCAAACAATGGTTACAAACAGGACAACAAAGATCTACGTAAATATTATTTAGTATATGAATTTAAACAGCAGCATAGATAGTTTACAGGCAATGAAAAATTCTTTAGACAAGATTTTATTTCTTATAAAAAAAATTAAAATGAATCATACCTGTAAAAACGTTATTGTGTTACCCTGTTCTATTACAACTTTTTCATTACTGGTAGACGCTATAGCTTGTTATTATTTTTTATCTCAAGATAAAAACATCTGTTTTTAATTGAGAAGTGTATGTGAAAAAAAGAAATCATCTGTATTCAATATTTCTTATATTGATTTCTATTATAGGTTTTGGGATGATTGGATTGAATCTATGGGTATGTTACGTTAAAACAATCTAAAGCATAATTCATTTTATACAATATATTTAGACGGTGTACGTAAACATCTTTGGCGTTTAGCTTATCCAGACAAATTGTATTTTGTCGGTGAATTAATGAGTATGTCAACATTTTCACCAAAAATGGTAAATATTATATATTCTAATATTTTTTATTGCTTAATTTTAAACTTTAAATTAGGATCATTTAGTTTGTTTTCTTGCTGGTAATATGGCACTTGGTTGGTCTTATAAAAAAGATTTAACCTATCTTCTTGATATGGCAAAAGATTTAACAAAAACGTGCTATCAAACCTATGCAAAACAAGCAACAGGTCTAAGTCCTGAAATAGCATATTTTAATACTGATCCACAATCAAATGAGCCAACTATAACTGTTCGAGTATGATTAATATTTGTATTACTGGGTAAAACATTCGTTTTTTTCCCTATTATTTAAAGGATAATGACGCACATAATTTATTACGTCCAGAATTAATCGAATCATTATATTATATGTATTTTTTAACGGGTGATACGATCTATCAAGATTGGGGTTGGAAAATCTTTCAATCATTTGAAAAATATACTCGACAAACTGATGGTTATTCATCAATTAATGACGTACGAAATCCAGATAATGTTCGACCACGTGATAAAATGGAAAGCTTTTTTCTTGCTGAAACATTGAAATATTTATACTTACTCTTTGATAAAAAAAATCTATTTCCTTTTGATCAATGGTTATTTAATACAGAGGCACATCCTCTACCCATTTATAAAAATTAACTGTTGGAAAAATATCTCATTTTTCTGTTTTTTTTCTTCTTTCTTTCATTAATATGATATATGTCCATTTGCTTTTGTGGTTTCCGGTGTTGATATGAATAATAATACCTATGTGAAGAGAACGGTAGTGATTAATTTGTTTTTTTTTGTTGTCTTGTTGTTTTACGTAATATCGTATGAATAGATATATATATACATATAAAAGAACAAAACATCCTCTACCAATAGATTTTTTTATCTATTATTCACTTTCAGAACGATAAAAAAGCATTTGCTTGCGTATTTTTCATTTATCCTATTATCTACCGGTATTATTTTTATATTCATACTAAACTTATCATGGCAAGCGGATCACAAGTACGTATAATTATCGATGAAATTCGAAAGTATTTATTTAATACATTTAGAATGAAAATCAAACTAACCTTGAACCTGTACTCGAACCATTATTTCCGAAATGTACGGAGATTCTTGTCAATACAGGAAATACATTGACATTGTTTCAATTAATAAAGAAAACGAATTGTTCTATAACTGAAGAAGTAATATATTTTTTTTTATTTGAAAATATAAAATTAACTTTTTTTATTATTTCTAAATAAGGTTACTGAGTATATGTCAATGATGTTACAAGCAATTCGAAAAGATACAGATGGAAAACAATTTCACGTATGCCTTTATAAAAAAATATTTTTTTTTAAATTTATTGAGAAATTGTTTTTAGGAAGAAAAGTATGTCAAATTACTCCCGGTTCACGATGAATCTCAACCAGTTTCTATTAATGGAACTACACCCGGTGTTTCTATTCACAATGAACAAATAACAAGAGAAGATTTAAAATTCTCTATAAAAATTTTTCTTCGTTCATTAGAACCTGAAATATTAGCAAATGCTATTGATACAGGTTTATTTAAATATTAATTCGATCAAAGAAAACTTCTATTCATTTCTTTTATTTAGTATTAAATGAATTAAAAGAGAATTATCTAGAAAGTGTTATGATATCTTTACCGAATTATGGTGCAGGTGCAACACTGAATAACTTTATGCCATTATGGAATATTATCGAAGATTATATAGATAAACAAAAGATTTTATCAGCTGGAGTTTGTGATTTTATGCTTCCGCTTTTATCGGAATTATGTGATGCTGCTAAGGTAATTAAGCACCATATTTAATTTTTTCATATAAATTCATTTTTCTTAATTTAGCATAAACCATACGCAAATCAAATCAATTTAGGTGTATGTTGTTCAATTCCTGAAGAATTGAATAAATATGTTAAAGAAAATAATATTCAATTATTAACACATAGTGATCCAATTGGTAAGATATATATATTTCAATTTATTTTTTAATCTTATTATTTTTCTTGTTTTGTTAATAGATGTTATTAATGATTCAGACTTTCAACAAACTCTTCTTAAATATTGTCATGATTCTGATGCACTTAATTGGAAACCAGTTTCTATCGTTCGGTATAGTTCTGTTATTGCTCATCGAGGAATTATCAAAAGTAAAGGATTTCTTATCTATGCTAAACGTGAATTACCCACTCCTTAATCAAGCTCAATGAGTTCATTTGTTTTGAATTTTTTTTTCTAATGTTTGTATCGAATACTTAGTGTCTCCCCTATTTTTTTTTATATCTGCAGTAATATTTTATGAATTTATCCATGTTCTTTATTGCTTTGCAATACCCTTGAAAGCTTTACAAACAGTTATAATATATTTTTTTTGTTTTATTTTCTAACGAAGTATACCATTTTGTGTGTTTTTTTCTACGCCAGTTTAATGGTTAATTGTTATGGAATAAAAATAAAATCAGTACCAATCAAAATATTTACTTATTCTGATTCCGTGAATATCTCATTCAGTAATTAAATATTTATAAATCAACAAACTTCTCAGAGGTAGTAAACTAATGATTGCATATCTAGTATATTGTTAATGAACTATAATATTTAAAGGAAAAGATTTTATTTAGATGATCATTAGCAATGAATGAAGAAAGAAACAAATGATGACTTTATTGTCATCGTATTAAAGCTTTAGAATTATGCCTTGACAATAAAATTACAAGCAAATATTGATAATCTATCATCATGAAAACCACATGTTTTAAAAATATTTGTGAATAATTTCTAGCTCTAATATTTTCATTCCTTTGTTGTTATATGGTAACTAATAAATATATATTTTATTAACAATTCTACTATTAACTGAAATGATTAAAGATTTTCCGGTGAAATTTAAAACTCTCATTGTTAAATTAACAAATGTAACATAATATTTGATTATGATGTATACACGAGGTGAGTTATTTATGTTTTTAAGCATTTGCACAGTATGCGGAGTATTCATACGTGAAGTCTTATCATTTTTTTTCATAGTCATTGAGTAAAACTTGTAAAGTTGCAAAGAAAAAGTACAAAACATCAGCATTCCGACACATATGCTTTCTTATGAAATTCGATGAGTTATATGTCATGATCATTGATAACAGGCTAAGAAATTCGATTAAGACTCTAAATTATAAATATTCCGCCTATTGCATAAATACTTCAAAGTTCAAATATCTTGTGCCTTAGGAATTATACACAGCTGATATGTCATATTTCTTAGTTTACCAACAAAACCTTTGGTTTGACCTGTATATAAATCTAGTCTTTACATCTAATAGTGTATACTCTTTCACTGCTATGTATAATCTGACTATGATAACAAATAAATGATATTTAAATTTAATTTAATATTCTTTTTCATGTTCGTTCGATATTTTTTTCGTCTGTATTTACCTTTAAAAAAAATATATAATCCTATTGTCTATATATTTACCAATTTATCTTCACTTATTCTAACTATCGTCAACCATTTACAATGATGACAAATCATAAAGATACTTTTGAAAAAAACGAATAAATGTCAATAGATAAAGAATAGAATATAACGTTTGAAATACATGCTCCAAAAGATTAGAAACCAAATGTGTCTATGAAATCATCTAGTGGAATGGTAAAATTACTCATTAAAAAATGGTGTTAACTTACTGTAAAATATTTACAAGAAAAATATGTTAATAAAAATGTTCTGTCATTTTAATACAAAAATAATATTAATGGCATTCTATTCAAAGTCATTTATTTGCAAATGTCTACAACTGTTATCGATACTATTCGAAAATTGATAAGACTTGACATGGGTTTTTGAGAAACAGATGTCATAAATATGAACTGTCATATACCAAGTTAACCGAATAAAACAAAACATATTGAATATCAATGAATATAATACGATAGTTTGTTGTTATTTTTTAATATTATTAATGTCATATGCCATTGACAAACGACAAGTCAAGGTAAGAAATACATTACTTATCTAAAACAATCCTTTTAAAGTAATGTACATATCTAATAATAATATCATGCTCGACAACCATCAATCGATTTAAATAATTATATCAAATAATTCTTAATATGATTATTTCGTTCATGATAAATATTAATATGTAATGCAATATGATTTCTTATTAAGTATATAAAAAATTTATTTTACGTTAGTTCTTCAATGACCTTGTTGTTATATTATATTGCATGAGTCTATGATAAACATTCATGATCTTTAGGTTAAAATAAGTTAATTGTACTATAATAGATTGACATAAAATAACATTATTCATCATATAGAATATGATCTTTTTCATCTGACTGAAAAAAATATCGTATTCTTTTTTTTGTGCCTATTTTTTCATATCAAAAAATGTGCTAGACAGATTAATATTTTATTGTCATTTTTTTTTGACAAATGAAAGAAAATCAAAAACCGAATGTTGAGATGATAATATATAATAGCGTCAAGAGACCACGGAACAACCCCATATTTCTTTTTCTTAGCATAAGAACATTAATATTGAATTTATATGACATTAGTCGATTACTGACTAATATAAACTGAAGGATTCTCGAAGTATTTTATGGATGCAAGTGTCATAAATGCACGTCTTTCATATGCAAGAAATTTAAAGTATAAAGCGATTAAGTTAGTTCTATTGTTTATTTCATTGTCTTATGATTCAATAAAACATGATTAGAATAAGATAGAAGATCTGCTTGTCAGTCGTTACAATGAAGATTCGTATTATTATCGATAATGTCTTTTTTTTCCATCGAGATTTAAATAAGTCTTTGCTTTCATGTTGAGATTCTAATTAAAAAACTAAGAAGATTTTCTCACAAAAAAAAAAGATTTGCTAAGGTAGATGTTTTTATTAGATTATTTATAGAAAATAAAAATAAAAAGATAGAATAATATATTATTCTATAAAATTTGATTCCATTTTTATAAAATATTAAGATTATAAATAATCTCTTTATGACGAAATTATTATTTTTATTGAATAAAAATTTCTCATAGAAATTATTTAGATAATAAAATATACTCAATGACTTTCTTGTAACGAACAAAATTCTATCAAAAAAGACTATTATTTGTCATAGAATAGGATATGCCAAAAAAATTTCAGTGATATTTGATCAATTGGAAATGCATAGACTTTTTTCTTTTATCTTCTTTTTTTGTCAACAGATAACGTCTTATTAACACTTGGTGTTTTCTATTTACGATTATTATATTTTTTTTGACTATATAACATTCTATTTACGATAGTTTTTTTCCATTCTATAAAGCGACAAAAATATGCAAACAATGTCATTGAAATCTAAGAGAGTTATCACTTTTATTCGTGCCAAAGAAGACAAGCACAGATGAGAGTTATTAATTCTTATTTTTCAGTTATTCTTTTCTAGTCTCCGTCTTATATTTAGATATATGATGAGATGCATCAACAATAGAAGCGATAAAAAGAAGAAGAAAAAAAAGAAAAGAAGAGAATACATCCTTAAAGTCACGATGTTTCTCTTTCTTCTCTTCGCACCAATTTTCGTTGAGTAGTTGGTGGACCCTTACTAGTTTTATGTATGTCTGTTAGTGTTATTATGTGCAAACTTAAGAATAGATAAGAAAAAGCCGCTGATTATTATGTGTCTTTTTCTCTCTCTTTTTTTCTTCTCTCCCTCTCTCTCTCTCTGCCTTCTTCTCTTTTAGTCAAACGTGTGGTATGCACATACATAATACATACAGCTCCAATCAAGCACTCATCAAATGTCATTGCTCGTCATCTATCATCATTGCCAATCTAGCATATATATATGTAAAGACACAACAGATCATGCTAAACTAAACTAAGCCCTGCGGTGGCAATTTTCTGCGTGATTTCTCTTAGTTGTCTCCGCCGACTATAATTTTCTTGAGTCGGGACTATGTAGATTTTCTTAGGTCATTTTATTTTGCTTTTTTTTCCATTTTTTTTGCATATCTATCTAGGGTATCGACATGCAACGCGCATCAACTTCATCATTTTGTCTATAAACTAGATTAACTACAGTGTATATATATATATATATATAAATATATATGTTCGTCATCGACCGTCCGTCCATCGTCATCATACTGCTATTCATTAACAAACCAGAATATGAATAACAGATTTTAGTTATTTGACTGTTGAAAGAAACAGAATAGTTGTAAGTAAGTAAGTAAACAATCAACCGTGTAGCTTTATATTTTTTTGGCATAAATGTTATATATATTGGCAAGTTGTTGATTACTTTTATGTGCCTGTCTGTTATGTTTTTTCTTTCAGTATTTCTATGACTTTTTCTTCTTATTATTGACATCAGCATGTTCGAAAAGGTGTTAGCATACATCATTCTGATGACAAATAGGTTTCATAAGTATAAATATGCCTGTAGTGTTATGGTATAACTTTTGTCTCATTTATTTTTTATGAAATATAAAGAGACAGAAAAAGGAAATCATTGTAAATACTTGATTCTTACTTGGCTCACCATCAACAACACTTTGGCATTGTCTACTAAGCAATAAATATAATAAGTCTACCAAATACCGCCTATCTGTTTAAGCACACACATATGTCTACTTCTTCACAGCATTCTAATTATCCTCAATCTTAGAGTCTTTAATGTCGCGCACATAGTATTAACAACAACGATGATGATGATGATGATGATGACGATGATGATGAAAGAAACCATAGCATATACAGAAAAGAAAGACTATTTTTTTACGTTTGTTGTTTTTATTTCTTAACTCAAACTCAAATTCAATTCAATCGATTGATGGTTATGTATAGAATGTTCTGTAAATGAGAGGTGAGAAGAAATCGATCTTTTCTTTTATTTTCTTTCTCGTATATTTTTTTGCCTATAACAAAGAAAAAAGTTAAAAGAAAAAAATTTGTACTTTCGGTTGATCCTAAATGTAATATATGTCATTTTCTTCGATTACATATATAAAAAAAAACCAAAAATAATAGAGACACTAGAGACAGACGAGACTTGAAATGATAACTCTCTCTAGGAAAAGCCTAAGGGCGTTGATTTTCTATATATTGGAAATGATTGTCAATACTTGATTGTTATTTGCTGTCATTTTCTCTTGCGATGCGAAAAAAAAACAGAAGAAAAACGGAGGAAAAAGCGCAACACCCTCATCATCATCATCAAAAAGAAATCGGTGTCTAACGGAAGAGAATAGAGGCGAGACGAGAAGAAGAAGAAGAAGAACAGAATTTGAACTACAACGATCAAAAAACAAAATAGTAACCTAGTTTTACGTAGTTTTACTATTATCAATTAGAAAAACAGATTACTTTTAAATTTCTAATACTTATTTTTTTTCATTCCGGTACAAACACGCAATACAGTCTCGGGCAAAACTCAAAATAAGGACACTGTAATGAAAAAAAGCCATGTAGGTGAGATGGAAAGAAATTGTTCTTGATACCCTTTTTTTTTTGCTATTTCGTAAATAAATAACAAATCGATGAATTAATGCAAATAAATACATAAACACCTGATTTAAGACTATTGATACTTTTTTTTCTTCATATTTGAATCCAGTAGATCAGAATTATTACTAATGCAAAAACAACTCGAAAAAAAACGCATTACATATGTTTGTCAGACATTAGAAGAACGTGCTATGATTATATATTTGTTCATTTTGTTTTTCTCGCTGTATCTCTAACCTTTTCTTTTATCATATTGTTTGAATCATTCGAATGGTAAAACACTTAGCTTTTTTAGTCTTAATATTATTACTCATACAGAATATGTTTTGTTTAGAGATAATTCGGCTTATTATTGTGCGAAGTATGCATATATAGTTGTATATATATATCAGATAAAGAAACAAAAACATAGTCATATAGTAATAATGATAAAAATGTTCTTTTTTGTTTTATTTCAAGTGATAATATAAAACCTGATATTTTTCTTCATTTTTTTATTATTATTATTATTATTTTCAGATTTCTGATCATATATTACCTAATGACACAAGTTGAAATTCCAAGCGAATTACCAAGTATTCTACGTAATTTTACATTAAGTGTATTACGTTCTAAACCACGTGATATTATTGATCATGCTGTTGATTATTTTACAAAATTACAACATCAACAAAAACAGCAATCAGAACAGCTAATAGTAGACAACAATCCGGTAACAACAGTTACTACTTCGTCTTCTTCTCCTTCTTACATTAGTCAACAACCGCAACAACATCAAACATCAAATCATAATGCTATATCATCAGGTCTTATAGCTAGCTAAACACAATTTTTTTTTTCATTCTGTTAATGGGTTTCTAAGGCATTTCCTGATGTGCAGAATGCTCCCTAATTCACACAAGAAAAACATCATTATTTTGGCATAAGTTTTTTTTTTTAAGATTTCATAGTTTTTTTAACGTACAAAAAAAAATGAGATTAACAAATATTTCGTTTAATTTAATGGTGTAAATAAGGTCAAGTAATATAAAGTAAATTATATATATATATTTTTCTTAGCTGCGCGCTTATTTCATTTATATTGTTAACGGAAACAAATAGCATTAGTTTTCACTTGCTTATCTATAATCAACAAGATGGTATCTACCATCAGATTCAATCGACTCTATACTGATACTTAGAAAATTGACATCCGGTGTATGCCCATATGGTATATTTTTAAGTTTGTATTAGATATTATCGCTTAGATTTTTTTTCTCCATAGGACAAATAAAAGAAGTTTTCTTTTTTCTAGCCTTAGGAAAAAAGAAAAAGAAAGTAAATTAAACTCAAAATAAAGTCTTTTATTTATTCTAATTATATACTAAATAAAATCCAAATCGGTGTATAGATCATTACAAAAAAAAAAACAGAAAGAAAACTTTTCCAAGATAAGCTATGAATAGGTGCGTGACATGAATATGCAATAAATATTTTTTATTTCATGTTTTAGTTCGATTATTGATAAGAATTATTCTAGCAGAAAACAATACATCTTTTTTGCTATTCTAATCTGCGATTTATCGTATTCCAATCGATCCTTTGAGACCTATGAATGAATGATTTTACTTCTGATTATGTAAAAAACTAGGCTGATAAAATTGATAATATTCAAGTCATTTTTTTTTCTTTATCTTGACAGTTATTCTCAAAAGACTTAATGATAATTTTCAAGAAAAACAATTTTAACAGAAGCTTTAAATGAGAATATTGTTCTAGTATTATAGACACAATATATAGATATTGTGGAAAAGAAGGAATATTAGTGACCTTTTTTTTCTTTATCGATTGATTCGATATTAATCTATTCATCTTTATCGTACTAATTAAATTATGATCGACAACGAAATCAAGTAGAAATATAGAATTTATCCAATGATTCTAATTTATTCTTGTTTAGGAGATATTTCAAGCACTGAAAAAAATAAATCGATGACAAGTACAGATACTAATAATCCATCGAATATATCAAATGATCGTACACCATCAATATCAACAGAAGAGAAAATCGAGCGTGAAAGTAAATCAAGTGAAGAAGAAGACGAAGATGATGAAGATGATGATGAAAAGAATAACACACTTGATGATCTTGCTGATGAAGAACTAATGCGTGTATGTAGATATATATATGGATCTATAAATATTTTATTAGTAATTAAATTAATTTTTGTTTTTTGCAGCGTCAATATGTAAAAAAAAATGAATTTCGTCGAGTATCTGTAGCAGCTGAACGATATAATCCGGAAGAAGATACTGATTCGGATAATGAACAATCTCTTGTTTATCAAAAGACTCCTGAACAACGTCAACGTTTGAAAGAAGCTGTATGTCATAATCTATTATTTCGTACACTTGAAGCGAAGCAAATGGATCAAATTCTTGATGCCATGTGGGAAAAAAATGTTAAAAAAGGTGAAACAATTATTAAACAAGGTAAAA